CCCGCCAAGCGCAACCCGGCTTCCCACGTCCGCAGTCCCGTCGTTCCCTTCGATATCGCGCTTCCCTCCTCCCTGATCGTAACGCTTGCGTAGTTGTGCAGCAGATCGTCGTTGTCGTCCGACTCGGATTGGCTGCGGCCAGAGCAGAGCCAGTAGTGCGTCGTGAACTCGTCATCTGGGGCCGAGACGCTAGTCGTCGTTATTGGAATCGAGGAGCCGCCGGCCATGGCTTCGACGTACCGCTCAAGCAGCGCCGAATCGACCTCTGGGAACTCGATCTCGTCCACTCCTTGCGATCGGAGCACCTCGCACTCCACCTGGACAGCCGCATCCAGCCGGGCGCAAAGTTCGCGGAGAAAGAGCGTCCGGTACCTTCGGCTCGAGCCAGCTTTGTTCTCCCCAAAGAGATCACTGTCGAGCCAGGCCTGAGCGTGCAAGAGGATCGATCCCGGCGGCCAGACGAATGCGCTAGACGTCGGCGGCAAGCGCGCCTCGTACTGCAGCAGGACAATCTGCCTCGCTTGCTTGAGCGTCGACGGTCCCGGACCGTGTCCGTTCGATGCCGCTTCGTGCAACATCGAAGCAGAGTGGACTTTTAGGTCGATCAAGATGTGTAGCCAGGGGGTGAGGTGCGGCAAGTCATGAAGCTGCATCTTCTTGCTCCACCTGTCCAAAAAATTAAGGGTGGACCGTGGAGGTGTCGCACGAGAGAGCTTCTGCTGGGCCACAGTCCAAAGTGACACTCTGATTCAACGCGCGCCTCCGACCAATTTACGCGTCAAAGTGCAACACCGCGATTTCTCGTCACGGCTGAGTCGGGTTCGCGCCTCTTCTCGCGACCTGCTGTGGGGACACGACCGGCCTTCATCAACCACCAGCCTCGGCACCTGCCCTTCGACTGCCACTACGTCCGTCCATACATCCACAGCTGTCGCAACAATGTACAACAACGGTAAGTCCGCAATCCTTTGCGCGACGGTCTAGGGCTCCTGCACCCCCCCCCCCCCCCCCCCCAACGAGGGGG